AAATCCAACTCCTCACACCCTATTGGCATATTCATCGCCCTGATGACGGAGGCAGTATGACCTCTGAAACGTTGGTTAACATCGACCAGACTACACAGCGCAATAACCCAGAAGACAGAAATCTTCATATTCACCGCTGTGAGAACCTCAAGTCTTACTTAATATGCCTTATTTGCATGAAATGCATAGCGAGATTAAATTATGGTCTGGTTGTGTCTGTCCGTCCGCCTGTCCAGTTGGTTCAACTAGAAAATCACTGAGCGGATTTGGATGGATGAGGTGCTGCCATAGTGGAAATTTTTGTTTAAAATGGTTACCATGGTTAAAGCGTTCTTTGAATATTTACGATGGTTACTATGGTAATCGAGGTTCGTATTGATGTAAGTGCGAATCAGCCAAAATGTATGTGTAAGTTAAAATAGTTTTTGTTGGGACAGATTAGGTTAGGTTAGGTTAGGTTAGGTTAGGTTAGGTTAGGTTAGGTTAGGTTAGGTTAGGTTAGGTTAGGTTGTGTTGGGTTATGCTGAGTCAGGCGCGTTAAGGTAAGGTAAAACATGTTATGTCAGTGTAGGTTTATTTAGTTTCGGTTTGGGAAGTTTAGGTTAAGATGTTTAAATATGATTATTAAGTGTTAGAATTTCGAATCTGGGAATTATTACATTTTTATTTCTGGATTTTTAAATTTCGAAAATTTTTGAAAATTCAGAAGTTTGTAAATTTATTTCGCGGGACAAGGAGATGTGTAGCACCTCCAAATTTACGTAGCAAAAAACGTACGAGGGTTGTGTGTTAATGCTACTGCGTTTCAGAATCGGTCCGAAAACAGGTTATACTGACTGAGGTGGTTCGTGATTTTACTTAGGCACTCCAGAAAGATTCTGCAGTGCCTTAAAGTAGGTCACGGTCACTACATTCCCAATTTATTTTTGTCAACATTTCATTCGACACTACGTGATGTACGCATCTGTGAAAGAATGGCCCTGAATACAACTCTTATCGTGTGTATAAAGTCTTAAGAATATTTCTACCAGCATTAAAGAAAATACCAGGGCGATGCTGGAGACATATGAAGTGCGTATTACGCAGGCGCCAGTTGTAAATCATATGGTAATGTGTAGGCCTATAAATTTTACAAAGTCATCTTTCAGGACATGTGTGTATCGGTATTGTGACGCCATTCCCTTATCTGAAATACGCTTTGTTAGCATTCTAAACGAGAACAGGAAGATGTTACGGATTACAATGAACTAGATACAAGTTTCAACACGCGACATCTTTGCACAACGAAGTCATTTTATGTAGCGGAAGTCACATCGTCTGTCCCAGAAACTTCTGGTCTTATGTGGATAAAATTTTGCTTTGGAAGGCTGAACTGAAGGTTGTATAATTAATTAAATTTTGTTCCTATCCTTTCAATAATGCCCCTTGATCCTTCCCGTTTTTAATGTGATTCCTGCTTTTACTTAAAGATCAGGTCGAACTTGGTGGTTTCTTGAAAAACGGCCTATTTGTATGTGATGTAATTATATACTCTTAGATCACATTAGTACGTGGAACTTCAGTTTAAAGCGTTCTTCGATATGGTGAATGTTTCGAAATAAACTGAAAAATCTTTTCTGAATCTCGTATGAGGTTTAACCTCTTCAGGTAGTAGATTAAGCGAAGTTCCACGTAAAGAATTATAAAGATTTGTTCTTTTAAGATTTGTCCCAAATTAACGGCTGCCCCGATTAACCGATGGCCCAATTAACAGGAATCGACTGTATTTAACTTTTTAATACATATATATTTCCGTATTGTATTAATTGTTTATTTAACGACACTTAGTCAGCCATATAGGTCGTATAGCATCGAATACTAGCAGTACGGAAGGAAGCAGTCGTGAGATTAAAGAAGGAGAGAATGAATTAAGAACATAATCATCCACACGAATTTGTTATGACACGTGGGAAGCAAAGATTACAAAATCCTCATTGTATTATCTCATTGTCATATTGAAGTTCGAACCGGTGTTATCTAACTTATAGAACGAGAGAGAAATATTTCTGGATTAGATCTGTCGTGCTTCCTGACAGTGGAAAATTTCTCTCCATATTTAGAAATTTTCGTAATTCAATTAAAACTTCAGAAACGCAACGCTACTATGACGTACTCATGTGTTAAACTTAATAAAACTATAGGTTATTGCAGGGTTAGAAATTTTACTTACCCAGACATTTTACATATAATTTCTAAAATAGTATTAAAATATATATTAAAATTGTCCGTCAATCACAATAAAGTAATATAAGATAATTAGATGGTTAAAATATTATCCTTTGTTCCGCATCGAGTACTCGATTTACATATGGAACATTTTCGACATGTTTCGGCTTTCATAGAGCCGTCACCAGGTGTATGTTATAAACTCTTAATTCAATTACTAATTTTTAATTTTCGTATCATTTCTTCAATTTTTCACATTGTATCAACATTTGTTGTTGTGTTATATAACATTGATACAATCGTATTGTCGGAGTGATGTTAATGCTGCGTATATTGGTCTGTGAATTAAAGGATTCAAACTAAACTAAAATATCTTATATAATTTCTGGTTGAAAAACATTTACTTTGTAATAAAAAGAAACGCAGTCTTAAAAATTGCTACAGTAGCATGTATAGAAAACTCATAATAACAAATAAATTATTGAAGAAATGTGTTCACTTAGAAATAAAGACGCACTTAATAATTTTCGTTCTGTTCTTCTAAGTTAGTTGTTGATTAAGAACTGTAACAACATAAAAATCTAATAGGCGTAATATCAAACACGTGAAAATTAAGGATAAACTAGCAGAGTGAAAATAAACAAAAGTAATATGTTCTTTCCATAACCCGGTATTGTGAACGAATGAAGAAAATATGTCTATTCTGGCATCACTGAACAATGAACTAATGTGGAAAACGGTAAGTTGAGTGAAGCCTGTAATCCAGCATGTAATATAAATTAAAAAAATCCCTTTATTACTCATTGGACTGTGATTGTGTTATTCTGATCCGGGGTCACCATGCCCCCCCCCCCCAACCTGAAAGTGGTGATCAGCGTTCCGACACTCTTTTGTGACAACAGAAAAGAGGGCATTAAAATAATGGATAACTCTTGGAAAACCCAGATCGTCAATTTTCAAACGTGAATTAACACATTGGGAATATAAACTGGGGTAAAAACATTAAGTTGTCTTTTGCAGAAATTGTTACTGTTTTACTTTTGTTACTGTCAACCTTGTTCGAAGAGAAGATGTGCTTCAGAAGTGTAGAATTCAACCGAGTAAGCTATGAACGTAAGCACGAAAGATTCTTGACATTGCGAAGGTTTCCATGACGTAGGGCAAAATATGTACTAATATCTCTTTCTCTCTCTGTCTCTTGGTGTTGTTGCCTGGGTTTCAAGAATTTTACTGTGTAGCCTAATTTTGTATAATCTTGTTTATTTCATATTTTTTTAGGTTAGATGTTGCTGAAAACCTTCAATCTGTTATTTTCTTGGACAAACATATGTAGTATTACCACACAGAATAGCTGTGAATAATTTTTTCACCTTTTGAAGCCAAAGCTCGTCTGAATAATATTAAAGAATCAGTCCTTGCCGCAAGAAAAATACAAGACATTATTACAAAGATCAAATAGCTGCTAAAGGAAATACACACGAACGCATAGATACAAAATGAAGAGTTATTGCTGTGTCGTCGTGCCATCTATTGTTTAAATTTTAAAATTCAAGATGGTGATTCCCATGGAGGTAGCAAATACAGAGAATGAGTAATCATTATAGTGGTAGTTATCT